AGACGCCAGGTTTAGGGTTTAGGAGTTCAGGGTTAAGGGAAATTGAACTAGAGCACCGATGCGTCCAACTCTAATGTCGCCTGGCCTGCAATACACTGGTGGCTAGCAGGGGAAGGGAATGTAGGAATAAGACATGGAGACTACTGTAATGGATGTATTTCAGGATCACTGCAGGGATCAATCCTCCCTGCCCGACCAATTAACCATTGCAACCACTGGTAAGTATGTAAGAGGGGTTGAACAACATGAACAACAGTATCGCTCCTTGCTTGTTTGCCTTGTGCAGCCAGATTATCGTCTAAGCCCTATAGGCACTCATTTTTGAACCCTAAACCTAAACCCCTGTAGTTTCCATTTTCTTTTCCATTACCCCCATATAACCCCCTGATAACCTCTATATAAGTCCTATATAACCAGCTGCTGGAAGATAATCGCACTTTCCTTTGACACCCCGCCGAGCTTTGGACCTCGGATCCCGATCCTGGTCCTATGATGCATTAGAATCAAGATTCCTGGACTGGGTGGGAAAAACCCAAAAGATGACCAGGTAGTATGGTAATCTTGCGGTTTTCTTAGTAGGGAATAAGGGAATAGTATCCCTCTAGAATCCGTATAGAACATATTTTCCTTAGAACCTATGAAGCCAGTAAGTAATACCCCATGGGCTCAACAAAGAGGGAGGCAACGACCAAAACCTTGAAACTCTAAGTGCAGGCCGGGGTGGTCAGGCTGTAGGGTTTAAGGGTTTAAGGGTTTAGGGTTTAGGTGTAGGGTTTAGGGTTTAAGGGTTCAAGGGTTGAGGGTGTAGAGTTTAGAGTTAATGGTTTAGGGCTTTAACGTTTAGGATTTAGGGCTAAGCCCTAAACCCTAAGTATAGGCGGGGGCGGTCAGGAAACCCGTGAGACGAGGTGCGAGGCGGGGCCTCCTTGTCAGCCAGATGTGCTGAAGTACATACCGTGCAGAAGGAGCGTTGCCATCGTGAAGGTGAAAAGGGGGTTGACTCAAAAGCAGAGCTTGCGGCCTACCCTAAACCCAAAACCCTAAAACCCAAAACCCTAAAAACCCTGAACCTAACCTAAAACCCCAAAAACCTAAAACCCGCCAACCCTAAAACCCTGAAACTCCAAATCCTAAAAGCCTAAAGCCCTGAAACCCTAACCTAAAACCTTACAACCCTAAAACCCTACAACCCCAAAACCCTGAAACTCTAATCCCCTCAACCCTAAACCTGGGAGCTTCCAAACCCTGAGAACCTCAAACATTTTAGGGTTTAGTTTAGGGTTTAGGGTTTAGGGCTCATTTTGGTGTTGAGGGTTTAGGGGCCCCTAAACGGGATTATTTGGGGTTATATAGGGGATTATATAGGGGATTATGAGGGTTATATATAGGGGATTATATAGGGTTATGTAAAGGGGATTATATAGGGTTATATAGGGGATAATTTAGGGGATTATATAGGGGATTATATAGGGGATTGCATAGAGTTATATAGGGGAGTATATAGGATTACATAGATGAGTACATAGGGCTATATAGGTCACATAGAGTTCAGGGCTCTCTGGGCAGCTGACTGGGTGAATCCTTGCTCCATACTGCTCCTACCAGGAAAGCGTTCTGAGCTTTCAGGGATCTGCGGGATCTGCTGTCTGCAGAGTCACACTAGATGATCCGACTATAAAGGCCTTTGGCTGGTCTACACCAAACCCTAAACCCTGAACCCAAAACCCTAAACCCCTAAACCCTAAACCCTAAACCCCTATCCCCTAAACCCTAAACCCTCTAATTTATCTGCTCCTCGTCCATTTCTGTCAGCGGATGGGCGGACCAAAGCTGAAGTCCGCATTGTAGCGACACCCCTCCCCCCGTTTAGGGTTTAGGGCTTAGCGAGACGAAATTTAAAGCACTAAACCCTAGGTATCCCCGTATATCCGTGCATATCCCTGCCCATATGTCCCCTGTATAGGAGCTTAAGACCCCCAACCCAGTCTCCCGGGCAGTCCCTCTTGTGTGTGCTTGCAGCTTGTGTGTCTGCCTCGGCCCCATCAGGGCCCGAAATAAATGCGGTCGACGCCATATTAGGGTTTAGGTTTCAGGGTTTAGAGCCCTAGGCCCTAAGCCCCAAACCCCAAGCCCTAAAACCTATAGTCCCCCTCAAGTAGATAGAATACTGGATGTATGGGTAGCTAAAAAAAATAAGATACCCAAAGCCAAATTATATCCGCTCAAAGGGGACTATCAACCTAAGCCCCTAAACCCCCAAATATTTACCCATATTACGACTACAGCCGTAGACGGCTGCTTGCTCTGATGCCTGCCCGTTACTTAGGTGGCCGAAGCTCGAATTCCTAAACTCTAACCCTAAAACCCTCAAAACCGAAATCCTAAGCCCTCAAAACCTAACTCCTTAAACTCCAGACTGAAACCCTAAACCCCTATTTCGCAAAGATAATGTAGATCCATGATTAATAAGCCCCCTCCTTCTAAGGGCCTTCATATTAGGACCCCTATGATAATCCCTTTTAAGGGAAGGAGGTTTATTAATCAGGGGTCTACATTAGGAAGCCACCTCGCTGTTTTACACCTTAAACCCTTCAACCCTAAACCCTTAAACCCTCAACCCTAAACCCCTGTTTCACAAAGATAGGAAGCCACCTCACTGTGGGACTCTTCGGCACCCCTAAACCCTAAACCCTAAACCCTAAACCCTAAACCCTAAACCGCTTGGTGGCTCGAGTTTGTGGAGCCTCGGGTTGCTGCCAAGTTTCCAGTTCCGTGGGCCCTGAGACTCGAGGCTTAGAGGGTTCAGGGTTTGAGGGTTGGATTTTCATGCAGGGTTTAGGGTTTAGGGTTTAGGGATTAGGGTTCAGGGTTTAGGGTTTAGGGATTAGGGTTCAGGGTTTAGGGTTTAGGGTTTACGGTTCAAGGTTTAGGGTGTGTGAAGCCTCTCCCCTTGACAAGGATTCTATAGGGATTCTATAGGGTTACTAAGGGTTACTTAGGGATATTTAGGGGTGACAAGGGCAGGGAAAAGGGATACTCTACTCTATCTCGGGATTTCCTACAATTCGTTTTTTGGGTTTGCTTCTTATAATCCGCAGTCGACAACTTCACGAACTTTCTGGCAGGGTTTTGTGGCAGATGCAGGTAACATCATGAGCACGATCACTATGTGTCTTAGGGAAGCCTGGTAGTGACGTCCCCACCCTAAGCCCTGAGCCCTAACCGCGTGGGTTCGGGGGTGGAGGAGCCCAGCAGTGACAAGGTTTAGGGTTTAGGGCTTAGGGTTTAGGGTTAGGAGGTGTTTCCATGATGTTGTGCTTGGTCCATCCACCCAACAACCGGGCCCAAAATGTAAGTGCACCTCTTTGGGGGGTTCATATACTAAGGATCACCCTAAACCCTCAACCCTAAACCCTAAACCGGGTCTATGTTGGGGATGGGGAAAACTGCTTCTCGTCTCGTAATCAAAGCTTTCATGTTGCAGAGCTAGGCTTCAATCTTTTGGCTGGGCTGTGCTGCTCCGTAGTGCTGTCATGCGTTTAGGGCTTGGGGCAGTAGGGTTTAGGGGCTTAAACCCTAAACCCCAAACCCTAAACCCTAAACCCCAAACCCTAAACCACAAACCTTAAACCCTAAACCCCAAACCCTAAACCCTGAACCCTAAAATGCCTCGCTGCAGGGCTTGTGGTAGTGGAGGAAAGCTCGTGCGCCCCGCGTACTCTTTGTATGACCTATAGTCTAAACTCCCTAAAGGGGATTCTATAGGAAGTTATATAGGGTTTAGGGTTTAGGATTTCGGGTTTATAGGGTTTAGGGATTAGGGTTTAGGGTCTAAACTCCTTAAACGGGGTTCTATAGGGGATTATGTAGGGGAGTGGTATAGAGGTTACTAAGGGGGATACTAAGACTTTCGACTATAGCTCATATGACGCCTGTCGCTGTGGAGGCTGCCAATCCATGCCGGGCTACAAGGCCTTGAGCAAATCTTGTTCCAGCGTAGCCACTCACAGTGTTGTAGAGTGTGCTGACCACTACTAAGTCACTACTACCAGTCCTCCTACCATTGCTTCTACTGCTGCTTCTACTGCTGCTACTGCTGCTGCTACCACTACCACGACGACGACGATCACTACTACTACCCTAGCGTGTCTTTCACCGCTTTCACAATGCCTGCTGCTCTGTTGACAGGTAGGCTTTGAGGTGTACAGTGAAATTGCGTGTCTTTTCCGATTCTGCCTAGTATGCATGTACATCATGTTATGTTGTTTGCACAGACAGCTTTCTGCAACAACGAAAGAAGACAAGGCAGGCAGGCACCTCTCCCCCAGGTCCGCTGATAGACAGATTTTAAACAATTTTTTAAGCATCATAGGTTGCTGAATTTTGTTTTCACATTCATGAAACAGCAGTTTTGGAGAGTCCCCTGTTGGCTCAAGCTTACTTTCAGGGAGACTAGCATGGATGTGAAGCAGGAAAGTGCAGAGCAGACCTTGGAGGCACTGTTCATATGGCATCTGCAACAGCGTAATGGCTCATGCTTGATGAGTGAGCTGGGTGGCAGCTCTGCATGGAAGACGAGTCCACTCAATACAGGTCAAAAAGGGCAAATGCTGAGCTTCATTGATGCGCGGAGACACATTTTCTATATGGAAAAGAGAGGTAACACCGAATACCTTTGTTTGGCAGAGTTTCTGCATGAAGCTCCACTCCCAAACTCACGGGCCCAGACGAGCTCGACACCTGCCTTTCAGAAACCGAAAGACGCAAACCCAAAAAGATCAAATATCATCGAATCATTTGTCGAGCACTTGCAGTCACTACCCCATCATGGGCATACTTGTGACATGCAAGAACTTGCAATGCTACCAGCATGGATGTCTGGAAGCCGTGGCTGCGGAAAGCTCAAGAAATTTTTGGACGAACGTCCTGAGCTTTTTGCCGTAACCCCACGCAACCATTCATTTGCCGTGTCACTGGTGCAAAAAGGCAATCGTCCCTTGATGCCTTCTTACACAGACGTCCCAAGTCAGCCCTGCGCTGTCGATACGCCACCGGACATCAGTTTTGCACGGTCCCTGCGGCAACCACCAAAGCAGCCTAACACAGCGCCCGGGGTGGTTCGTGCAGCTATCATCACATTCCTTAATGGTAAGGCCAACAGGGCATGCGATTTGGCAGAGCTTGCCTCGCTTCCACAGTGGTTGGAATGGACAGGGCGACCAAAGTTGAAAACATTCATCAAAGATCTGGTCATTCTGGAAACAGTTAAGAAGGCCAGAATTGTCGTACGCTTGCGGCCATTTTACTTCACACAGCGTACCATCACAGAAGATGCGGACAAAGATGTTTCCCCAATTGGTAGCATTACCAACTCTAGCAGTCCTGCCAAGTATGGGCCTGCGCAGGAACCTCTGGCAACCACTTCACATGCAAGTGCTTCTGTGGTTCGGGCCATGGGCGCCCATGAACCTCAGAGTGGTGGTGTGCTCCTCAGCGAGCCTCCTCCTTTCGATTCATCCTGCAGGTTGGGCCGAGAAGTAGGCGGGACAGTGATAGATTCTAGGTATGCCAGTAGTACCCTTTTACCCTTTTTGTTTGGGGGTCTCCTTATTACAGAACAGACCAGTAGGAAAAAGGGTACCCTTATCATTTAGGGCTTACTGGGGAACCTAGGATTTGGCCAGCGTTGAATCGGAATCAATGCTTGGTCAGACCCTCCTCGTGCAGCCCTTGTGCATTCGATGGACCCATGACAAGTTGCAGCAGATGTTCACATGCGGGCGGCGCTTGAAGCATGTTGCTGACCAGCTCAGGGACAAGTCGATTTCTCCTGAGGTGCCAATGATTGAGATCGTCTCGTATCAGGGGAAATGGCAGGCTGTGGTGTTTCAAAGCAGGCTTGAGTTCAATCCAGGCTCGTGTTGGACCCGTGGCTCATTTCCTGAAAGGCCTGACCACTGCAACTGATGGTTGGTCCGTGGAATTCTACCCTCCCTGCATATGTCGCAAGTGCGGGATTGAGTTCCCGAACAAGAAGGGAGTGCGATGGCACGCATGCAAGGGGTTCATGCAGTATTCAGCACTGGATTGGGATGACCAGGCCTCTGAGGCCTCGGAAGCCTCGGATGGCTCTGAGATGGGAGACTATGGGGAGGACGGGTGCTGGTATTCCGACGCTGCGTGGTCTCAGCGCCTTGAGACAGATGAGTACTGGCAGAGTGACGATTGGGGTCGTGATCCCTTGTGGCGTGCTGCAGCCAGTGGAAATCACCAGCTTGCAAGCCGTTTGCTGGAAGCAGGGGCAGATGTTGACGCGTGCGACTGCGAAGGTGTTTCGCCGCTGCTTGCGGCAGTGCGGAGAGGACAATGGTATGTGGCTGAACTGCTCCTCCAGTATGGCGCATATCAAGCTCCTTGGAAGTGGACAGCTCGGAAGGGCAAAAAATGGTCCAGTTGCAGAGCCACAAGATACGACAGGATTGTCGCAGCTGTGAAGTCTGGTCGGAGCATCTCTGGACGTGATTTGATCATCAAGTGCAAGCCGAAGTCTAAGGCAAAGTCCAAACCGAAATCCAAGGCCAAAGCAAAGGCGAGTAAGGTTAAACACTAGCACTGACACATGTCTAGCCCTGAGCTTTTAAGAAGCCGAGGGCTGCACATAGTTTACGAGGTGATGCCCAGCGCTTTCTTGCAGACTTCCGCACCCAATGTGCATGCACTAACCAGCCTGAAAATGTCTGCTGGAACAAAAAATGAATTCGTTGCCTCAGAGTCCACTTTGAAAGTGCTGCGCGTTGACGGTGGCCGGGAGCCACTACTGCTAGCAGCTGCCTACTGTGAGACTTCAAGTCCGGCGGAGTATGTGTGCTGCAGGCTTCACCTGCAAAGAGCTGGTCCTGCAAGGACTTTCCTGCAAAGCGCCTGCCCGTAGGAGGTTACAGCGGACACATAGGGACATGCAGGGATATTTCTAAGTATATATTCAGTGGATACGTTACGGATACCTTTGGGAAGATGTAGAGGTTAGGATTTCCAGAAACTAGGGGCCCTTTATTGGGAGCCCATATAAAGAGTCTTGTATTTTTATTGGGGTTCGGACTCAGGCCCCCTAATTTCTGGAAGGCTCCACGTGTGTTTGGAAGACGTGCTTGCCAGGACTACCAAGATCTCACTCCCGAGAAAGCCAGAAGCTTATGGTTGATGGACAAATCCTGCATGACCGTTTAGGGTTTAGGGTCTAGGGTAAGCCCTGAACCTTAAACAGTAAACAATACTTCCAAGGGCTTTGATATATAGGGTCATGCAGGATTACCGTTACCAGCATGCTCTCGGGCGTCAGGTTAGGGGTCGGATAGTAAGAGTAGGTAGCGGTTTAGGGTTGAGGGCTTCGGGTAAGTGTAAGCAGTATTTAGAGACTTGTATCTCATGGTACTAATAGAAAGAGCAATTTGTATGTTTATTTTTTGTTATTATTGTTGAAGTAGGAATTCTAATAGAAATAAGACCAGCATTAGTACTAGCATCAGTTGAAGTCCCAGTAACAGTAATAGTAATAGTAACAGGAAGAGTAATGGTTTGCATATGCCCCTGAACCCTAAACCCGAAACCCTACCCCCAAACCCTGATAGTTTTCACCTGCGGCATGGTCTGCCGTCCTGCCTCAGAGGTGTTTCAATGTATTGCATTGCTCGAGGTGCGTGACTGGCGCCGTCCCCGCCTGGGCGGAACCAAAACCAAGCTGGCGTGGGAGGAGGCAAGGCTTGACACGATTGGATATTACTTGCTAATTACCCAGACATCCTAAAGGATCCCAAAAATGGAACCCCCTAATAATCCCCTAGTTTCCCCAATGTAGTAATGGGTTCATATTGGGGGGTGGTTCCATTTTTTGGATCCTTTAGGGAGTCTGGGTACTACTAGTCTTGGTGTTACTAACTACTATTATCTCCTTTGCTCCCCAACTGTTTAGTCATTTCTTTTGCATCTGCAGCTGCGCGTCGCATCACAGAGGTGGAAGCTCCACAAAATACATGGGTGGTTGTCAAAACTATGGTCCCTTTTGGGATCCTTAGTAAAATTACGGCACCTAATATCTAGGGTACCCAAAAAGGGATCATAACTTTGACAACCACCCCCACATAGATTTCTGGGCAGTCTTTCGCGTTTGGCTGTAACCATGCCACTCCCTAAAACCTCAACCCTAAATCCTAAACTCGGGTTTATGGTTTAGGGTTTGGGGTTGTCCTAAACCCTGAATATCCTTGAATCCTAATCCTGCATTGGATGCCGATGCCACAGGCCAAGCCCAAGTGGTTCGCCCGCCACCGTGCCGTGTGCAGGGGAGGGCATTATTGCCGTTTAGGGTTAGGGTTTAGGTCTGCTATGTGCTGCTCACATGCAGTCCGCAGTCCGCTCACCGGAGTTGCTTTGAGTAAGGCAATCCTAAACTCGAAACCCTTAGACTTGCAAACTGTAGAGCGCAAAGGAACGCGCACGGGGGTCAACATTTGTTAGCACTTGTAAAGCCTCCAAAAGCATGTCAGGCAAATCTTGGGAAATAACATTCAGGTCTTGAATGCGGATTTGGAGTGCCCGGCACAGGCATGTCGAAAAGCGTGTTTTGAGGGAGCTCTGAAGCCCAAACTCTTGACCGTTCAAGAGGATGGACAACTCGGATTTTTCCAATCACAATTCTGTTCCTGAATGCTTTTCAAACACAATCCTGGAATGCTGCGAAACCACAATTCCCAACGCCAAAAACAAATCAAAAGCCATGTTGGTGGATCCTGTAACCCTGAAGCCCAAATCCCTAAGCCCTAACTAGATCGACGCTACACCCTAACTAAACCCTAGATCCCTTAACCTTAAACACCAAAAAACCCTGGAGCCCCTCAACCCTTAACCCCTCAACCGCAAACCGTAAGCCCTAAACCGAGCGAATCTGGCCTGACCTCCTGCTGTCTGGATTGGCCGCTGATAGCCTCTCTGCTTGAGCAAGCCATAGCTTGACATATGCTTCACTGGGTTTTTACTTGCTATGGGCCCCATACACACTGTAGGGCCCCTAAATTTGTCCCAGTTTATTAGGCAGGGCAAGCCATGTGTAGAAGCGATGAATGAAGATGGAAGGTGCGTCCAGATCCTCATTGCAGACCATGCATATCAGTGGTATAATGACAGCAGAACGCTCGCAACATGGTAACCCTAGTGTCCGCATCATCTCCATTTTGAATCCCTCATTCTTCTACCTAACCCTGCAACGAGGCTACTCTGTCCTACCACTGGTAGATTTGAGGTACAATGACAACCAAATCGCTTGCAGTACCCAACATCACAGCAGCATAAGCCGACGCCATGCCAGCATACCGGCTGTACAAAAGTGTGGTAGCAGGGGCAACTGGCCGTGTTGGCGAGGCTCTGTCTCATGGGCTTTTTCCCCAAAGAGGTTACCGCATAAGGGATATAAAGGGGAATGCAAAAGACAACGGAAGCTCGTTTTGTAGGGATTATGTAGGAGTTTCCCTAAATAGGGGGGCACCAATATAGACCCCGAAGTACTATAGTCCTTCTTATGGGGACTCCCACCCAAAAGGTACCCCTAATTTTGGGAAACCCTAGGGCCTAAACCCTAAGCGGTAGCTCCCGATTTCTTTTCCATTATCCCGATATATCCCCATTACCTTTTATTTTGGGAAACCCCATCTACTGGGCCGTGTTTTCTGTCTGGGGGTTCGGCGGTTGAGCGAGTTTGGGTGGCTCAAATTGTTCAGGGCTGACTGGCTCAGGGCTTAGGGTTTAGGGTTTAAGGTTTATTACCATGACTTAGGGTTTGGGGGCGGATTTTGGATGTTAAGATTTTCAAATGTTTCAATTACGGAATTTTGGGAACCCTGAGTAATGGCAAGTCTTTTTGCACATGAGGGCTTAGGGTTTTGGGTTCAGG